ATGTTCTGTCACTTTCTGCATAATTCTTCAGTAAAAACCTTCCTGTAAATCACCAGAAGAAGAATTTGGTAGGAATGTTGTTCCCACAGCAGTGTCTGACAGAGACAGGTTAATAATCAAAGAAGGAAGCTGGTGTCATTCTAGCTCAGACTGGGGAAAACAATCTGTGACGTTTGTTTTCAATTGCTCAATTACCCACAAGTGTGTGATTGTTCAACAGGGCAACTCCCATCTGTTAATGTGCTGTGTCAGTGCGAGGTTGTTAATAAAAACAAAGTGTGATTCTGCCAGAAGCCAAATTAAAACGGCCTTGGAACAAATTAATTTCCCAGCCCATTACTACTTAACCACACTGAACTGGCCTCACTGTTTCGGGAAAACAAACTTTTCATTTAAAAATATTTCTCGTAACCCACTGTGAAATGCTCAGCAATTTTATCACAAAAGCTGACTTCAAGCACTTTTAGGTACAGCACAAAGTAGGATTGCTGCTTGTATGATACTATGAAATAAGACTCTAAGATATTCATGTAAATAGAGATTTGAATAAATTGCAGTTAACACATTGGAATCAAAGTGAGATACCCCTTGTTTTACGACACTGGTCATAAACCGTCTGTCAAATGAAAACATGTAAATATATAATGCCTTCCATATAGGCTGCTTATCATATTAGTACTGTATACCTCACAAAGTACACATCTTTGATTCGTTTTCAACCTGTGTTAGTCTAAATGTGTGTTTTTCAGGTACACAAAGATGTACAAGAGACACCAGACAGTCTGCCATCGGACTATCTGCCCAGGTGACAACACTGATAACTCCCTCTCTTCCTTTCTTTGAAATTAAGTGTATTTGTGTAACTCCCTGCCATTCTCTCTCTCTCTCTCCCACTGAACTGTAGATCCCTGTGACTCTCAGCCCTGTCTGAATGGAGGCACATGTGTACCAGATGGGCAAGAGGGATACAACTGCTTATGTCTTCCTGGCTATGGAGGAGACCCACACTGTGGTCTGTACACTCACTGAGATACTATATTTAGAGATGGCAAAAGTACACACATTCTTTACTCAAGTAGAAGTACAGATATTCGTGTTTAAAAATACTCTAGTAAAAGTAGAAGTACTGACTAAACTGAAAAGATAAGTATGGGCTTCGAAATGTACCCATAACTACCATCTGTTTTAAAGAGTAACTGACCTCCCTTTATATTAATAGAACAATCATGTCATTGTTAGCTAATGAATGTTTCGATGCTGAACAACGGCAAAATGACAACGTTTTCATTGTGCCCGCTTCTTTAGAGAAGACCAGGAAATGATGGATACACGGATCGTGTTCAAATCAATAGACACGCAATAATAATAATAATAATAACTTGAATTTATATAGCGCCTTTCATAACCTCAAGGTCGCTTTACAAAGAAACAGACAAGGACAAGACATAAAACATAAAAAACATAAACATAAAACAGGGGGCAGAAATGGAAGTGTAAGTGGGGGGGGGGGGGAGTGAGTTATTGTTGGAAGGCGATGTTGAACAGATGAGTTTTAAGGGTTGATTTGAAGATGTTGAGAGAAGGGGCGTTGCGGATTTCTGCAGGGAGGGAGTTCCAGAGGGTGGGGGCAGCGACACTGAAGGCACGGTCCCCGAAGGTGCGGAGGCGTGAATGGGGAATGGAGAGCAGGTCAGAGTCTGAGGATCGAAGGGTGCGGGACGGGATGTATGGCTGGAGCAATGACTCTAAATAATAATGATCACGCCACCAAACACAGATTAAAACTAAAGTAACAAACCTGTTTTGAAAATGTAAGAAGTAGAAAGTACAGGTATTTGTGTTCAAAATGTAAGACGTAAAAGTAAAAAGTAGTGGAGTAAAGTACTGATACCAGAAAAATTTACTTAAGTACAATAACAAAGTATTTGTACTCCACTACTTCCCACATCTGACTATATTGGCTGCATACTATCTCTCAAACTAACTAACTTGACCCTCCCTCCCCCCCAGCCCCTGCCATGTCCCTGGACTGCTCCGTAGACTTGCTGTTCCTGGTGGAGGGCTCTGCCGCCCTCACCTTGGAAGGCTTCCTCAGCCTCAAGTCCTTCTTAAAGCGCTTCTTGCGCAGCGTCATCGGCTCCAACAGCCCCAGCAAGGTGGGCCTGGCGGTGTTCGGAGGAGAGACCCGGGTGGTGGCACCGGTGGATAAGTACAAAGGGGACCTGAAGGGTCTGCTGAGGGCTGTGGAGGCCCTTCAACCAGTGGGCGGCGAGGCCCTGACAGGCGAGGCAGTACGCTACGTCACACGTCACGGTTTTGTGAGCGCGCCAGTCTTTGCGGACGTAACGGACGACCTGCCCCGCGTGGTGGTGCTGATCACTGCCACGCCTGCTGCAGACGAGGTGGTGGAGCCCTCTAAATATGCACGAGACAGAGAGATCTTCCTGATCGGGGTGGGACCAGTCAAATTAAAGGAACAACTGAATAATATCACAGGAAATCCCCAGAGGACTATCAGCTACACACCAGCTCAGTTTAGTGCCAAGATCCCTGAGCTCAAGGCTAAGATCTGCAGCGTGGATCAGCAAGGTAGAGACTGACTACTTCATAACTTATGAAATAGGTGAAAGCCAATAGGAGTCAGTCATTCAAAATGTGATTAACTATTAACTATGTTATGGTAATTTATTTTGGACGTTGCACGTTACCTTACTTTGCTATCTTATCATATTTTCGACAATGAAGGAATAATCCAAAATAAGATATAATGCGTGATGAATTATTTGTAATTCCTGCCATGTTTAACAACAGCAAAACCACATGAAATATCTGAGTACATACTCAGATGATAGGATAGAATTAAATCTTTAAAGTCTTCATTTTCGAGCAGACGTGGATCAATTAAACCTGGATTTAGCAGAAAGTGCATTTCTAGGTTCTTGAAATACCTCTTCAAGATCATGTTATGTACTTTTTAATAAATACAAATTGTCTGTGTATTTTAACATTAAAATTATTTATTTATTTTCTTATTCAGGTTGTCTGGACCAAGCAGTGGACCTGGTGTTTGCCCTGGATGCCTCCGGTGCTGTCAGCCCGGATAACTTCATCATCCTGCGTGACTTTGTACGCAGCCTCACCGTCCATTTCGACATCAACCGTGACGTGGCTCAAGTGGCGCTCGTGTCCTACGGTCGGAGAGCCACCACCGTCTTCAGCCTGGACAAGCATGACACCGGCTCCTCCATCCTCAAGGCTGTAGATGAGGCCAACTACATGGGTGGAGTGGGTTCAACGGGCACCGCTCTACTTCACATCCACTCCGAGGTCCTGACGGCGTCCAAAGGGGCCCGGCCGGGGGTCAACAAGGCCGTGGTGTTACTGACAGACGGCTCGGGGGGGGACGACGCTGCCGTTCCAGCTCAGAAGATCCGAGATAACGGAGTGTCAGTGTTTGTCATCGGGATTGGAGACGTTCAGAAAGACAGGCTGCTGCGGATCGCGGGTTCAGAGGAACACATGATCTCCGTGCCTTTTTACGAGGATCTCAACTATTTTGAGGATGTGCTGGTGCAGATGCTGTGTTCAGGTGAGAGGGCAGGAACACCTTTCTAGGACAGCTTGTTCCATCTATAGAAACTATAGAAATTTATTTTTCAGCAGGAAATTGTGTGGAAGGATGGCGGACGGGTTTGAAGGAATCTGAACAAATTATGTAAACATTTTGCTGTGGTATCCAACTCATTTATGATACATTTCCTTTCTTTTAGAGGTAAAAAAGCCGGTAAACCTATGCAGGCCTAACCCATGTATGAATGATGGGACCTGCATCCTGTCCAAAGGGAGCTTCCGCTGTCAATGCCAAGGCTATGAAGGACCTCACTGTGAAAGAAGTAAGTCTGTTTTCCTTCCTTCCTTCCTGCACATCCACCTTCCTGCCTTCCTTTCATAAATTCATTATCTTTACTCCATATAGATCCTTTTCTTCTTATCTGTTTATGAGTCAAAGCTACATACATTTTAAGACTAGTTGTCTGACTGCTTTTCTTACTTGTACAACTTGACTCTGTTGACTCTCTCATTTATTTCTTTAATTTATCCGTAGAAAGCATCAGGCCTTCCTCCAGAGGAGATCTCCCGAGGCCTGTCGGTCTGAGGAAGAAGAGCCACCAGGAGCTCCTGCAACACTACAAACTGCACCGCAGGAGGCATGCTGTCTGACAACACCAACACAGAAACAAGCCACGTATGGACACTTAAGAACCGAGGATGATAGCGGGTACACATGGGAGTAAAGGGAAAGCTAATGTTACTGTTTCAATATTTAAACTGGCACTCAGAATCTCAACAAGTGCCTTAAACTGCAGTGTCTATATGTGTCCTAGACTGTGTCTCGTTGTTGTCTATTCAAAGATGTAAACTTTTATATTTTATTATACTATAGAGTATATCTGAGTCATGATTGTATTATTTTTATTGTATAATATCCATAGCCCTTTTTCCTACTTACAACAAAGACAAAAACATAAAGGTTTCGCCAAAAAGCTTAAAACCAAATGCTCAGTTATTGTTTTATTATAATATTTGACATTCATTTTTGCAAAAAGACCCTTCTAATTTCACTCAACTGATTACGGTTTATAATAAAAAGGTGGTTGTTTGCTCACACTAATGAACAACAGATATACAAATAATGATGTGTTTCACTATTTGTTATATTGCAACAAGCCCTACAATTGTAAATGTTTCAAATTCTTAACCAAAAGTAACATTTCAACTCTTTGAACCTAGATACATGTTTTCCATGTGAACATCCTATTATCAGTTGACTTTCCCTCATAAATACTTTATTTTTTCATTTTTAAGAAGTGTATGTAGTTACCCTGTGAAATTGTAATGCTACACGCATTTTAAAGTTACAGTGAACCTTTGATCCATTTTCAAGGGACCAGCTGGGATGAGAGAGGTAAACATTTTCATAAACAAATTACCAGCCAACATTGTTGTCAGTACATTTTTATTTGAATAAAAAGTGCATTTTTAGCTAGCAATACAAGCCAAATTAGGCTGAATAATGGCGTAAATATATTTACATCTTGGCTAACAGCATATATGAACCAAGCTACAATCTAGAGTGTACAACATTGCCAATTAAGTAGAGGGTCTCAGTGGTTTAAAAATGTTTGGCTGTTTTCATTCGTGCATCATCATCAAGAACAATTGTTAGACTGGCCAAAATGCTACTTCATCAATGTCCTCCCTTGAGCAAATGGAGAAAAACAACCATGAAAAAGTCATTAAAACTCAGATTATCCAGTGGTGTTTGAGAAGACATCCCTCTGATTGGCTCTCTGATTTATAGTCTTGGCAAGAAGTTGATGAGGAATCCAGATGGAGTAGGGAGAATGTTGATTTAACCGTCTGGTAACACAGTGGTTCCTGTTGCAGAAAGCAGACTAGACCAAGAGAAACTTGTGCATTTGAGAGTTCAAAAAGGTCATCAGGTTTCCCTCTAGGTGGTGGATTTCTTCTCCCACTCCTGAAAATACAAGAATTATGAAATGATGTTATTTGAATGCATTTAATACAAGTTCATTCACTTGTAATGATGCATCCTGATACATACATACTTCCTCACACATGGAAGTATCTTGTTTAACTGAAGCATTTGCATTTACAGTAGAAGTATGTATAGTGTCACCATGGCTTTCTGCAGGACTTTTCCTTTGGTGGCCATGATGGAAGCAGGTCTGCTCTTTAGTGCAGATGCAGAGTTGACTGGGGATCCTGGGTCTGCACTGGTGTTGCTGTTGTAGGGTTGGGATGAAGGTGATGGGGATGATGATGTCGACTGTAGAGCAGGCAGGGTTGCTGCTTTAGGCTGAGGGTAAACAGTCAACAGTTGGTAAGGGAGCAAAGCAAACAGGATCCTGGCTTAAAGATCTCCTATTATGATGTCTTTTATACCTAAATATGTGTCCCCAGTGTGTCAGTAGACTCACAAAGTGTCCGAAAATAATAAAACCTTTTCCTCCTTACCCACATCTCTAAAAATGGGGGTACAACGGAGCTGATCCAGATTTGCTGCGGTCATTACGACATATCGGAAATGTGGGCTGGCTTTACACCCACGGCCCTATCAGAAACGTCGCTGTATCACAGACTATGCGCGACGTATTTTGGAAGTAATATGGTCTTTGTTTACATTAGCAAGCATCGCTAACACTCAGAGCTAAGGACCCAGAATCAGCACTTCTCTAACAGGGCTGAAATAGAGGGGTATGAGGCATGGCTAGAATGGGTGATCTGTTTGGTATTTTGAGCCAAACGCTTTATAGACATGTTTTTTATATATTTTAGACCTATAATATATGCCTAAAATTAGTATAATAGGAGACCTTTAAAGGCTTATATAAATCATGTTTCCTCTGATAACCAGCACACTTACCATAGGTGAGTCCTGGAGGCTGCTGTCCAGTGTGGTCCCCAGTGTGAACGGCCCTGACTCCACCTTCTTCAGACTTTCCTTTACTTCCATCAACCGTAGCTCCACCTCCACCCTGCGGTTCTCCGCCTCCCGACACGCCTCCTCCTTCTGCTTCAATCGGGCTTCTAATGAGGCCTGCTGCTTTGGATCTGAGGATAACATGCAGCTGTCAGTCACACAGATCAGTGTTGCCCTTCAGTGTGTGTCACAGGAAGTGCTGATGTACCTTGGCAGGCGCTGAGCTCCTCTTTGGTTTCCCTCCTCTCCTTCTTCAGGTTTCCCAGACTGCTCCTCACCTCCTCCCGCTCTCGCTCCAGGCGGTCGCGCTCATCGATGTAGCGCCGCATATCTGCCTCTGTGCGGTTCTTGCCCAGTTTCCCTTCCACTGCACCGGGACACCCTGGGAATCAAAGAAAGATTGAAATATTGTACATTTTTTGCTAGTAAAACAATCCAGATCTAGATCTATCTTAATATCCAAATCCTCGTTAGCTTTATCCACAGAGAAAACAAAGAAACAGTGGTTCAGTTGTCAATTCATGTCTTTAAAAACCCTTTAAAAAAACTTTGAATCTGAGAAAACACCTTTTATATTCAGCAAAATATAATTATTTTTGTCAAATCCATTGCCATAAGAATGAAAGAAAAGATGCATTCATGAGTAAAAAGCTAGTTTCCTGTTGGAAATCAAATCTGCATTACGTTGTGAAGGTATGTCTTTGAGTGTAGAGGAAGCAGCTTTTCACTAGGGGGAGCCATGGTAATGTAAGAATACAGAGGAAGGGAAGCAGTTTCTCTAACTCAATGGTAAAGACAGTTCTTTATTTTAAGAGGTTTTCCATTTAAAATTGGAAATGTTTTTCCGTCCTCACCTATGGTATGTGCCTTGGGCCGCAGGGGGACAGGACTGTGAGGGAGTCCAGTAGAAACCGTTTGACCTTTATTGATCTGAACCCCAGGGGAGGTGAATGCCTGTGAGATTCCCACACTATTCCTCTTGGGGGTCTCCTGGCTCTGGGACGAGGTCTTGACTGGTTGAGGCTGAGGTGGAGGGGGAGTCTGGGGTAGCTCTGGTTCTGGTTTGCTGGTTATAGAGGTCGAACTTGTTCCATTTACCACAGGTGATGAATCTGGCTCAGTGAGGCTAGTTGAGTTGGCCTGGAAATAAAAAAAATGTAGGCACAAAATATGTGATTTATGCTCCGAAAATATCAAATATGTTATTAAATGATATAACCTACCTCTTTTATTTGAGATGCTGGGTCCTCTACTGGGACTGGGGACTCTCTAGAAGTCTCTTTGGCAGGGGGGGCTTTACCCGCGCAGGACGTATGGAGGAAGGAGCGTACAGGGACCAGGTCCAGGTAAATCCTGTTGTCAGGGTCCTGCTCTGTTCCCTCTGAGTCCTTGCTGTCCTGTGTGCATGTCTCAAATTGTTCCTGAGGATTGTTGTCCTCACTCTCTGGCAGGACATACTCATCAGCATCCTGTATTACACAGGAACAGGAAGTTATGAGGTGGAACGGAGCCAAATTGAGGACACAATGTAAAAGATGAAACTGAAAATGCTACACCAATCAACATGAATGATTCATCTATTTACTAGTTAGCTTGTAAAAGGTAGTCATGAAAAAAAATCACAATTTTCTAAGATTAACATCTTATTTTGCATATTTGTAGACATTAATGCTGAATCAATGTCCATTTTCTACAAATTAAATAAGATGTGTTGGCTTGTGGGTAAACATATTTTATAACATTTCAAAGGTGACTTTCTAAAAGCTCAACAAACAGGAATATGCATCAATAATGGAAAAATATCTCAAGTTTTTGTTCCTGGATACCATACCTCTGGATCAGCTATAGACGCCACATCATCATACAGTTCATCAGAGTTGTGAGGCATGGAGGGGGGGGTGTCTATGTAGTTGTTTGGCTCTGAATACCTCCTCTGCATGAAGCTAGAGAGACACAAAAAGAGAAGTCCCACTTGAATATCGGGCCAAAGTATACATTCACATTAAAGTGAGCAGTAGTGATGATCTTACTATAAGGAAGTCTTGGCAGCGTTGACGATGCTGGAGATCCTCTCAGCGTTAACGTAGTCGTATGTCAGCTCCTCGGGGTCCGTCTTGCCCCCCGTCTGGGACAGCAGGAGGCCCAGCCAGTGGCCCATGTCTGCGGACGTTTTAGCCTGAGAGAAGAGGAGAAGATCAAAGTGCATTTAGTTCATACCATGCACTTGCAACATCATGAGTCCCAAGCTTATGGTTAATGTTGCATACTCTGCGTCGGTTTGTTTTAATGAAAAGATTTCAACAGCATGGGTGCCAGCAGTATTTCAATATGCAAAATGTTTTAAGGAGTTACCATGTCCTCAGCTGAGCATTAGCAATTACAGTCTCTTGATAATTAAATAATGTGTTTGAAAATGCTGTTTAGGAACACATTAGACAGTGTTTCTGATACATATAAAACAGCCATTATTATTCTGGGGGATTCAAATAGCTCATCTAATAGAAACTGTGTGAAGCAACTCATAATGGTTTGGTCCAGTTTTGTAGGAATTCAATGGGTGATAATCTTGCTGAAGTTTTGTTTCGGTAAATACTGTACTTGTGAAGTTTCATTTTGTTTGATAGAAAAAACAAAAGGACTCATACAATTGTGTCAGAGCCTTTAAGACTAAACATTGGATTCCATGGCCTAGGACCAAATATGCGCTGTAGCAGGGTGGTACTGGAAACCTAATGAATAATGGCGTGAGCAATAGTTCCTGAAATCCCAGAGGATCCACACCCTTCAGTAAAACACACAATCACACACAAACACGCAGACCACCCTTGTGTGCACAAATATAATACACACAAGTTAGATGTCAGCAGAAAGTCAATTCCAGATGAGGACATGTTAGTGTTTCCTATAATCAACTGTAGACACCATTTCTGCTGACGGTAGTTTTTTTCTCCAGTTAGACTTGAGGCAATTGCTCATATTATCTTCAGGAAACAGTTTGTACGCCACTAGATAAAAGACGAGAAAGACGTCAGGGTGTCAAACTCTTACGTGATAAACAGTGTCAAACCATTTACTGAGATGCAAGACATTTGTCGGGATGTTACAAAGCAGCACAACAGACAGTGGTGGTTTACCTCCAGGGTGGCCAGCTGACTGCCATCCATATTGATCCTGAAGGAGTACAGGTGCTCGGGGATGGGGTCGGGCAGGACCCTGCAGCCCCCCAGACTCACTGCTGGCTGGCTCACTTTGTTCTTGCTCTTGTCATGGTAAAACCATAGCTGCCCCTTCTTTACAAGACACCAGCAGGTCCGCCATTGGCTGTTCACCAGCACGTTGAGGTAGCCTGACAGAGGAGAGACATTTGCAATGACTTCTTCTTCTTCGTTCCATGGTCATTTGACCTAAGCAATAGTTATCTACATGTGTTTAATGTCATCAATATATTGATTATTGCTTAAATCCAACAAACTGTTGTGGTACTTTCTTGGTGGCTAAAAGAGGTCAAATGCTCTGTGTCAAAAAAATAAAGGTTTTGAAGCTACCACCACCCCTACCCCCATTTTGTATTTTTTTTTATATCTATCCAATCCATGTCTCTGGTTATCCTTAGTTAGCATGATCAAAATGATTTTGTTTAATGTATAAAGTATATGGGTATGTAGGTATATCAGGAACATGTTATGCTTTTTCAATTTGTATCGGGGGGTGCATAAAATACAAAAATAATAATAATACTTGCAAATACATACAGTATATTGGACGTTTTCTAGTAGTACTGATTCATGATATTTTTCCAATAAAAGTATAATCATTTTTTAAAGCTAAGAAGGCATATAAGAACATATGAACATATATTGACAAATCTATACTGGTATCAAAAGGAATGTACACATAAGGCAAGGCACATAGAGACTTTCACCTTCAAATACCACCTAGCAAGGGCTATAGAATAAAAAGTAACTGTGTCAAAGGAGAGGAAGTGCAACTGTGTTCATGCTTTGGGAGCTTATTTCATGGCACAAAATGCCCATTAGTTCTCTGCTCACCTGAGGTGTCCACACATTTCTCTGGGCTCTCCAACGAAGAGGGTTTTTTCTTGCCAATGTTCATGAGGTTGCTAAACTTCAACCCTGCTCCATATTTTCTTTTCACTGTGAAGGGGAGGAGAATAATTCTGATTCAATAAAAACATTTCATACTATCAGATACGCACAGCATCACCAATGGTCTTAAACCCAAATGTTGGAAAACTGAAATAATAAAGCGTCACCATCTTTGTTTTCGGGAGTGTCAGCATGGCTGTCAGTGCTGCTTCCACTCTCTGAAGCCACTGAGTATCTCTCACTCAGTTCTCCCTGAGAGTTCAAATCAAATTATTAGTCATATATTAGGCAAGTTCTTTAGAAATATACAATAAAAATGTTACAGAGCCCTACTGTTTATATATATGCCTTTCAGATCTCCTCTACAAGTTATCTGAGCAAAGAAGGACACACACACCAAAGCAAAAATGTTTAAAATAAGCGTACCTTTGTACAAATGAGCCTTGGGGAGTCAGACTGTGAGTGCTGTGCGTCACAGTTTTCAGCTGGCTTGGGACTGATCTCCTGTATCACCTAATGAACAGGAGGTTGATAAGTCTCGACATATTCAAATGTTATTTATGAATTAAAACACAATCTAAATCCCACAACAAACGTATTAACTATTGTTAATAAGGTAAAGAAACAATGACAACATGACCCACACAGTTTCTGAGTCCTACCTTCAGCCACTGCTCCGTCTGCTCCTTGCTCTGCAGGCCGAGCACGATGGCCTCCCCTCCAACTGGAACGATTTTTAATTTGTGCTCTTTCCTCTTCATCTGTTTCTCCTTGTAGACCACACTGCAGCCCAGCAGACTCACATCCAGGAGAGGCGTCTGCTCCTTGGAGCTCTTATAGCACTGTGAGAGGCAGAGATAACACAACACTTTAATAAGAAATAGTACAAATCCAGCTCCAGGACCCTGGTATTAGGCATTTTGGCTCCTTGGCATGGGGGGCTTTCTCACCATTGTCAACCCAAATTAGGACCACATCATAATACACCTACTTATACATTTATTTACATTGAATTACACTTTTCCATTCTTTAAAGGTCACCTATTATGCAAAATCCACTTTTCCATGTCTTTTACACATAAATGTGTCCCCTCTGTGTAAAGAGATTCGCTCACTTTTTGTCCTGATCCATTTATATAAAAACCTGTCTGAAAATGAGCTGATCAGATTTTGGCCACTTTATGATGTCATAATGTTTTTTTTGGCTTGTGTAACCATTAGCCAATAACCAACCAAGGTACACTTCAGAGACATGTTTTGTATATAACTGAGAACTATAATATATTGATGAAAAATAGTATAATAGGGGACCTTTAAATAAGTGGCATCATGTGACAGCTATAATGGAGTTTTTAATCAGTTTTGAGGGTTTGCTGTTATAATAAACAACCCTTCATGAAACCCTCTGTGCTTATGACCTTTTTGTACTGTACACTAAACCCTAAAAAGGGGCTTTAATTCAAAGTCTTTCACTGACCTGCAGGCGATGGTCTTTGATGACACACAGCTGTTTGGCCCACTGTCCGAGCCACTTCTTCCTCCACAGGAAGGCGCAGATCCGAGCGTCCTTCATCAGCTCAATGGACGCCTCCGCTGACGGCCACTGGTGCTGCGCTGATTCTGACTTTCCTCTGGTCACCTCTTCCTCATCGTAGGACTCGTACGAGCTGCTAACTGCATCCCCGTCATCTAAGAAACAAAAACATGATAAGAAACTAAAACAAAGAGGCCACAAGGGGAGAGGGTGGGTTGGGGGTGAAACGGCATGAGTAGCAGCAACACAAATTACACTGTTAAATGATGTCAATGTATGGCTCCTTGATCATGATGACATCCTCCAGAGAAGAGGATTTCCTTGCAACAGCCAAATGAGCTGTTGAAGTATTGATGAGAGATGGTGACAGGATAAAGATATGATGAAAAGGAGAAAAACAAACGAAGGAAATTGATAAGATAAGACTGATTAATGACTTTTGTCGCATGTCATGAGGTTGTTTCTCTACATGCGAGACGCTGGTCATGCTGGACAATGGCCCGTGCACATGCCGTACATAAACACACACACATCCAGTGATAGAGAGGTAGCTACCCCTGTTGATAACAGCATAGATCACACTGTCAGAGCTGTGCACTCGCATCCAGGGCCCTGAGAGGCCAAAACAGTCCAGATCTAACAACATCATAGAAAACAGGAAAAAGAAGGAGGAGAAGAACAAGAACAAGAAGAAAACGAAAAGAAATAAGAGAGAAGTTACATCTAAAAATAAAAAATGCCTAATTAACATTATTCACCGATATATATATCGAATTAAACATATTTTTATAGCGGGTGTCAGCGATAAGAGCAGCAGGTGTTAAAACAACAAGACCAATCCATGACACCATAGCTGTTGTTTAATGATATTTAAGTAATGCAGCAGTTCTGATAAAACACCTTGTGAGCTGTTAAAGTAACTTATTTACCACAGCAAGCCCCAACTACTACTGCAGAAAACATGGCTTATCATAGCATAGGGTCATGTGGTCTTAATGTATGATAACTTCTTGTAATTCTTTTTGTGACGTTCTTCTTGCAGTGCGTGAAACCGCTTTCTCAGATAACCAGAGATGTTTCCTGTTAAGAATAAGTACATCAGAAAAGTGTGTCAAACTGTTTCCATGACGGTTAACAGCTCAAGCTCAGAGGTTAAGGTGTTGTGAAAAACAAAATAGGTTTTTAACTCACGTAGTGTTAGTTTCCTTTAACTAGGCCTTACCGAGAGGATTCTAAAATTCTGTGACGTAGGTTTAAAGAGTAGAAGAAGAGTGACATTCAACAAGAGTTTTTACCATTGAAAGTTTCCTCGTAGGGCTGAGCCTCCTCATAGTAGCTCTCTGAAGGGTCTAAACAGGCGGGAGCAGGAACTGGAGGTAAGGGGAACGGCTCTCGACTCACCACACCCTGACAGATGAGAGGAGGAAGAGACAATATGAAGGTTTACACTCACATATATGTCCAATGATTGTCCTGAGGAGGAAAATGTCCAGGTTAACAAATACACACCTAGACACGCACATATTCTCCCCACAGGCTAAACATACATGTGTCTAATCCAGCTGTCACTTCAGGAGTAAGTAGGGAATTCCTCATGTAACCAATCGCAGTCCGACCCCGTGCACTAGAGAGTTACATGTTAACCTTCAGGGACGGGTGTGTGAGAGCGTGGAAAAGCGAGCATGTATTTAAATGTGTGTGTGGGCCCCGTGGTTTTCCTGAAATCAATCAGCAGTCTGGCTTTACTTCTGTCCTAATTCAAATCTCCTGAGTGGTAAAAGACTGTCTGCCTGCTCCTTCCCAAACCGCTGGAAAACACCAGACTCTCTGTTGCTTGGCTGCGTCACAATTCATTTAGAATATCTCAATAATCAGTCAGTTGATCAGTTTGAAAATACATTTTGGAGACATCTGTCAACACTTTTTCGACTTAGCTTTTCTTGAGTTGTACATTTTAAAGAATGGATTTGAAAACACCCTTTAAAATGTAAAACCAAATGTTTGATGAATATTAATTGTTGAAAGTGTAACATTTCTCAACATAGGCAGAGCGTTCGGGAAAACATGTCAAGATTTGACCTATGATAACTATGGACTGGCTCAGCATGTGACGGAGCCCACGCACAATAAGGGGCACACTGGACTTAATTATCTCAAAGGGTCTGAATATCTCAAAGGTTATGGTGACTGATGTTGCACTCTCTGATCATTCCTGTGTTTTCTTTGAGAGCGTAGAAAAGCTGAACGCAGGTGGCGAAAAACAAATCTCCAGGTTCATTTTGAAATCTATAAAGAGAGACTTGGCTTTTATAATTTGGAATTGAAAATTGCACGACAGTCTTTCTTCTCTGACATCATTGCCAAAAACAAAAACAACGCACGTGCCCTGTTTGCTTGACAGACTAACAAACCCCCCAGTGTCAGTAGCCTCTGAATTTCTATCCACCAGGGCCTGCAATGAATTTTCCTCCTTCTTCACTGACAAAATTCAGAAAATTAGACAAGCAGTCAGTGCCTCTGTATCAGGTACAGCAAATATTTGTCCCTGTGTCCACTTAAAATCAATTCAAACATCATGACACAATTCCATCAGATTAATGATAAAAACCTAGAGGACATTATTCAACTTCTGAAATCCTCCTCCTGCTGCCTTGATATTATTCCAACAGGATTTTTCAAAAATGTTTTTCATTGCATGGCCTCAGATCTACTTCATATAGTAAACAAGTCTCTTCACTCAGGTGTTTTTCCACAGGTCCTGAAAACTACAGTCATTAAACCGCTCTTAAAAAAGAATAATCTAGATGCTTCAGTAATGAACAACTACAGGCCCATATCAAACCTGCCATTTCTAGGTAAAATCATTGAAAAAGTTCAACAGTTGAGTAACTTCTTGCATTTAAATAACTGTTTCGATGTGTTCCAGTCAGGCTTTCGTCCAAACCACAGCACTGAGACTGCTCTTGTAAAGGTCTTCAATGACATCCACTTAAACACAGACAGTGGCAAAACTTCAGTGTTAGTATTATTAGATCTCAGCGCTGCGTTTGACACTGTTGACCACAACATATTACTAGACCCACTGGAAAACTGGGTGGGACTTTCGGCAACAGTTCTAAATTAGTTTGAATCCTACTTAAAGGACAGAAACAACTTTATTTCTATAGGTAAATACACATCTGAGTTGACAAATATGACATGTGGGGTTCCTCAAGGCTCCATCTTGGGGCCTCTTCTCTTTAACATCTACATGCTACCACTGGCTCAGATAATGAAAAACTACAAAATAAGTTACCATAGCTATGCGGATGACACACACATTTACATAACCATTTCACCAGGAGACCAATTCAAACACTGAGTAAGTGCATTGAACAAATCAATGACTGGATGTGTCAGAACTTTCTCCAATTAAACAAAGATAAAACTGAGGAAATGGTTTTTGGAGCCAAGGCAGAACGTATAAAGGTTAGCACTGAGCTTCAGTCTGCAATGTTCAAAACAACAGATAAAGCCAGAAATCTAGGTGTAGTCATGGACTCTGACCTGAGTTTCAACAGTCACATTAAAACAGTTACTAAATCAGCCTACTATCACCTAAAGAACATATCTAGGATTAAAAGACTAATGTCACAGCAGGATTTGGAAAAACTTGTCCATGCTTTTATCTTCAGTAGACTCGACTACTGTAATGGTGTCTTCACAGGTCTCACTAAAAAATCCATTAGAAAGCTGCAGCTGATTCAGAACGCTGCTGCTCGAGTCCTCACTAACACTAAGAAAGTGGATCACATCACTCCTGTTCTGAAGTCCTTACACTGGCTTCCTGTGTGTCAAATAATTGATTTCAAAATACTGCTGCTGGTTTATAAAGCATTGAATGGTTTAGGCCCAAAATACATTTCTGACCTCCTGCTAAATGATGAACCATCCAGATCTCTCAGGTCTTCAGGGACTGGTCAGCTTTCTGTCCCCAGAGTCAGAACTAAACATGGAGAAGCAGCGTTCAGTTATTATGCTCCAAATATCTGGAACAAACTTCCAGAAACCTGCAGGTCCGCTGCAACTCTTACTACTTTTAAATCCAGGCTGACGACTTTTATTTTTGCCGCTGCTTTTAATTGATATATTCATATCTTAAACGCCACTGTAACTTTTATTATCTTTGCTTTTAAATTAGTGTTTTTAAATGTCATTTTATATCATTGCTTTTAAATGAGTGTTTCTAGATATCATTTTATAATATGTTTCTTAATGCTCTTAATGTCTTTCATTTTTGTAAAGCACTTTGAATTGCCTTGTGTTGAAAGGTGCTATATAAATAAACTTGCCTTGCCTATTAAACATGAAGGTTGTGCAATGTTTCATTATCTATCCATTTGTGCAGTGTCATACAACCACACATCTGGCATTTGCTGCCAATTCTAATGAAATCAACAACAACAAAAATACAATAGATCCAGTATAAACAAGGATTCAGGGATACAATCACATTTATTTAAAAACAAAATCTGTTATTATCCTCTGAAATTGTGAAAGACATTACTTCAACCTCCTGGTGATTAGTTTATTTAAATGTCACGCTGGAATTACATCATCAGGTGTTGAGCATTGACAAATCCCTTTCTGAATCATACTCTGAAACTCCCTATAAGTTGGAATTTATCCTGTATCTCTCTAACCTGTGACTACAAGTCTCCAGCTATCTACGTATCTATAGTGGAAAGCAGAAGATGAAAGATATACAAGTTTTGTCCTGCAACATACAAAATCTAAGATGACATACCTGCTATAAAAATGCAGTGACTGCCAGTGAAGATGATGTTTTTCTCTACCAACATATAGAGAAACATCATGAAGGAAAGATGGACGATGAAGATGAACGTCCATACAGAGAGGATTGTCGCTTATACTTATCCCCCTCTTACAGATCAAAACTATTCTGTTAATGTGGCACGAAGGCAAAACATTTGGGAAAAGTCACATGAGGGCATGTTGCAAAAGTCTGATGCTTGTTCTCAAGTGAACTCTGTGAAACCCGACAAGTTGAGTGACAAAAAGCGATTACTTAACTATGTCTAATGTTTCCTCCCACCAGTGATCCTTCATATTTATTTTATTTACCCCAAGGCTGTCACAATTTCTGCAAGATCATAGAAATATGAAATGAAACCCTGGAGCAGAGCAGAGCTGCAGTAATCATGCAAACCATGCCTTAGGGAGGCTATAGCTGTGAAAAAGTACAAGCCGAACATTTTAAAGTATTTCACAAGATCAGAGTTTGTTTAATTTAGGCTGGGGATCACTTGGTAAAAACTGCTTCCCTTCTATGTTTGATACAGCAACAAGCTATTCCCTTCCTGCAATATATAACCCTGAAATCAACTTGATAATGCTTGGTGTGAAAATAAGTTTCTCTCTTGGACAAAATGAATTTAACAAAATAAAAAAGTCAGTATTTCAGTGTGTGTGGTGGTTACCAATCTGTGGCAGTATAATTATACCAGAGTTACTGGTGCAGCTTAGATTTACAATTCAACAAAATAGTAAACAACAAATCTGTTTGTATAAAAATCATAATTTCTGATGTGGGCTGTGAGACAGTCAGACTCCAGTGAACAGGGATTTCCCTGCTCTTGAGCTCTTTTCCCACCATATCTTACACATTTCCAGTAATACATAGCAGATGCAGTAAGCCGTCATAATAACTGGCGTCATGTCAGAGTGAGCATACAGTCATAGTGACGGAGACTTGTTTGTGTGATTAGCCTCAAAAACTCAGATGTTATCACTGCGGTTTAAGGAGAGTAACATCAGTTTTACATTATAGAGCTGTTTTCACAATGCATGTATCAGCAAAAACAAATGTCAGAATGTCATATCACTTACAGTTTCTCTCTTCATAATGATGCAATGCCAAGCAAATAATAATTATGACCTAATTGTAAACTGATGTGAGAAGTTTCAACTTGTATTTCTGAGTAAAACAGACTTTTCAAATATAGTTGTAACAGATAACCATCAAAAATGGCATTACATTTACATGTGCCAGTATGAAAGCCTTAGATATGTGCATCATTTATCACCGGTACACCAACAGCAGAGTCATTGTTAATGATTGTAAATCGAAATAACAACACAACCTAGCCCCATGAATACTATGAGTTAAAGGGACACCAGTATGTTTAGCTGACCTTTTAGATGAGGAGATACAAGATGGACGATGCCACGAATCACAGCAACAAAGTGGAATTAAGCCACTTTCACAATGGTGGTAATAAACAAGACTTTGGCTCAAGGGATCTAATACAAATTGTGGCACTGACTCTGATAAAATACTTGCATATTAAAATAAACCAAAAAAGGGCTTTATTGAAGATAAATAATTTTGTATAAATAATCAAATATTGTAACTTGATTGCATCATATAGACGAAGGAATAGGGAATAGAATATGTGATGTTGTGGTTTTAGAAAACATCTATATGACTAACCATTAAAGAGGTTTTTTGGGAACACATAACCCAAAAAGTAAGAGGAACAGCTTCAAAAGTTCAAGACTTGTGAGGGACTTCATAAGAAAAAGTGTTTCCTGTGAGGAAAGAGACTTGAGTAGAAGTGTACACGTACACACACACACGAAAGCTCAGTGTAAACTGCTCCACGTTGAAAAACCAGCAGTTCAGGCATCTGTTATTAATTAAAACAAAGAGGCAGGCATTCCAGAGCAGCAGCAGCCCCCCCGACCGCCCACCCACCCTTATCCCTATCTTCTTTCTCTTTCTCTCCACATTTCACTTATCTGAAAAAATAATAATAATCTCCCTGTTGTTTGGGCCAAGGCTAAGGAGGAGTATGGCAGCCCATTCCTCAGACCAGCTGGACTGATATTAAAGCAAAAGGGAAAATGAACATGAACAGTTTGTCTGTAAATGTATTTCTTTAGAAGACTCTGCAATTAATCCAACACTAAACTATTCACTTTAGTCTCTTTCTTGCACTTCTCACACACATATCCTAACCACAGAGACATCGGGTAGAAGGAATGGATGGAGGAGTCAGAGCATACAGTAAATAACAAAAGCAAGGAGAGGGGCGGCAGAGGAGGAACAGGGGTGTGGTGGAGGGGCTTCGAGTAAAGAGTGGGAAAAAGAGGCCAAAAAACGAAACATTCGGAGGAACATGGAAAATCCCTGGTTCCCATGCCAAGAATCCAGCACAGCACAGCGAAAACACACACGCACACACACACACACCCACACACACACACACACACACACACACACACACACACACACACACACACACACACACACACACACACACACACACACACACACACACACACACACACACACACACACACACACACACACACACACACACACACACACACACACACACACACACACACACACACACACACACACACACACACACACACACACACACACAGGGCCTGCCGGGAGCTCTGAGCAAAGGAGGAGGTATTGATAAAAAAATAATCAGCTTTCGGGAAAAATTCTCTTGGCCTTTCCTATCCTTCCACTGCTCTGTATCTTTTTGGTGGGACACACTTGTGTGAAATGCAAACTATTTTAATCATGTTTGAAGCATAAAAAATAAGACAGCTGGAGAAGCAAGAAAAATATCACATGACACAGATTTTATGCATGGTGTGTATTATTTTGTCTTTCTTGGGAATCTCTTCTTATCACCTGTATTTTGGTTTCCCCCCATGTTTATGTATTCATTTTAACTGTATACCATGGATGAAGAAAACACACATGTGTAAGAATTGTAGTCAACTAAACCGGACCTGAAGGGGCAGTGCTGGCAGTCTAATCATGAATAATTCAGCGAGTGCGTACTGTATGCTAGCCAATTATATTGCGGTTATGATAATGACCAGTTGCCGGCAGCCACATTACCGCTCAGTGTGCATGTCAACAGTTTTCCTTTCCTTGGCTGACGCTTGCGAGTGGCGCAGCTGCTATCTATAGTACGACTCTATTTTCAGACCATGCAGACGGGACGCAATGGAAGTCTCACAAGCCTTTATTTACCGACCAGTTGTGGGGAAAAAATGGCAAAAATACACTCGAGTCACACGCTGCATTGTCACTTGAGATTTGGGAAGAGAACAGACCAGGGTTTAAGAGACCATGGAAGAGCCTGAAGGCCTGGGAGTCAACCGGGATATTCCTGCAGGGAATACGACCCTTGATCTGGAGAACAGAGAGCACCGGGGGGGCTGTGTGAGAGTCAGGGTGGAGGAGAGCTGGTTCACTGTGGAGCGGGACTTGCTTGTGAAGAAAAGCACCTACTTCAGTGCCCTCTATCAGTCTGGGATGATGGAAATTCACCAGGACGAGCTCTACCTGAAAGGAGGAGTACATGCAAGGGGTTTCCTCATCGCCCTTGCTGTCTGCAGGGGAGAGACCCCACCTTTAAATGACCCGGATGAGCTTCTAGAAGCCGTTGAGTGTGCAGCTTTCCTGCAGGTTGAGTGTTTGGTGCAGCATCTTTGTGACATCATCGACTCAGACAACTGCCTCTTGCTTTACCATGCAGCATCCATCTTCGGGGTGCATGCACTTTATCACAATGCTGCCCTTTTTCTGTGTGATGCTTTTGAAGATTTGAAGGATGCAGCCGAGAGTATGATTCCTGATGAACTGCTTCAATATTCTCAAGCATTGTCTCCGGCTTCTTACATTGCTCTTGGCACGCACTCTCCTTCAATGGAAGGGCATCACGACTCCTTTAGGGTTGCTTGCTACCTTGATGAAGAAGAGGAAGATTGGAAGCATCTGACAAACCTTCCAACTCTTTGTAGCACCTCCATGGCGGGAGTTGCAGTTCTTGACAATCGGTTGTACATTGTGGGGGGAGTTTACGGGTACGGTAAAGACACAGTGGACAGCAGCTTCTGCTTTAACCCTGAGTCTGGGGTTTGGACTGTTCTTCCAGGTCCTCAGCAACTAAGATATGACTTCACCCTGCTGGGGCTCGAAGGCCGACTCTACGCCATTGGAGGCGAATTCCAGAAACGGACAATTTCCACAGCAGAGAGTTACGACGTTGGAAAAGGAGAGTGGACATTTATAAAAAATGCACCAAGACCTGTAGCATCTGCAGCTTGTGCTGTTGCAAGAAGGCGGATGTTTGTTTGCTTCTGGAAACCCCCAGACACTACAGATATTTACGAATACAGACCAGTGAAAGACGAGTGGAAACTTGTCACCACTATGATCAAACCTCAGAGCTATGGCCATTGTATGGTAGCCCACAGAGACAATTTATATGTGATGCGCAACGGGCCTTCTGACGACTTCCTTCGCTGCCGGATGGATTGCTACAACATCACGACAGGCCAGTGGACAGCCATGCAGGGGAACTACATCAACAGCAAGGGGGCGCTGTTCTCTGCAATGATAAGGGGGGACTCTGTGTTCACTGTGAAACACATGCTTACTCTTGAATACTCCATCACTGGAGATGGATGGAAGCCCCGCAGACAGATGAAGGGATTTCCAAAGAGTGGCTCACTGTGGACGTGTTTACTCAGGCTTCCCAAGACGGGGCCAGTTGTGCCACAGCTGGATGCAGGAGGAAAGGAAGGAGAAATGACTTTGACAGACACATCTGAGGGATTTGTGGAAGCTCTACTCCAAATGTGAAATACTGCACAATTGAAAAACAATGTTTCGTTTTTCGGGTTTCTTAGCTAAAATACTAAGAATTGTAAAACACTAATAGATAAAGATTCTGATGTTAAGTGTCACAAATCTGTCGATGCATTCACTTTCCCATGCACTCACATATTAACACACACACTCACACATGCTGACACTACACATTTGTTCTGATTAGCAACAGCTGCTACTGTAGTTTATACTAGGGGAGGCCACTGTGTGTGTGTGTGTGTGTGTGTGTGTGTGTGTGTGTGTGTGTGTGTGTGTGTGTGTGTGTGTGTGTGTGTGTGTGTGTGTGTGTGTGTGTGTGTGTGTGTGTGTGAGTGCAGAGTTCAAAGGCCCTGACGGGATGTCCTAAACCTCTCATTCTCTACGTTTTTCCTGAAGTCACACTGGGCCAATTCAGGAGCCAACGGCCTCCCAGCCGACATTAAACACACCACAGCTCCCTTACACACTCTTGGATACTCACTTTCCCAGGTTTGCTGCCCCGTGACTGATTAAATACCTGTTTCTGTGGGAGAATACATTTCACATAGCCTCAAGTTTGTGACTCTGAGGGTTGTGGGAAATGTTTCTGGCTTGTATGGCCATGGACTGAATTTGTTTAAGTACATTAAAAACCAATGGAATTCTCTGGCAACATGTGATATCAATCCATAGCCGTTTAGTTTGAACACTTAGGGTGCTTTGTCATAGTAATGTTCTTACTGTAACCAAAGACCAAAATACTGTCAATTGCATTTAGAGTCAGAATTTGTCTTTGGGCTCCTTTTAGCATACCGTTGGAAATCATGACTTCCACTGGACTCTCCCATGTACTTTATTGAGTTCAGGAGTTCTACTGGGGTCAATTGTGCTATTACCATTCCCATAAACATGTTAATCCACTCTCATGCAATCAAGCTGGTAATCACTTACTGCTCTGGGGGGCGGCAAGTCAGGGAGGCTCTTCTTTGGGACAGGGACATATTTTGCTGATTTTCCATTGAACAGGGCATCTGATCTGTCATCTAGGTCACAAAAGTACAAAGAAGGATGTCAGCCAATAACAGAAAACATTTATATTGGATGTTGAAAAATGAATGTACAAGAATCTGGATAAATCAAACAACTGTAAGGTCAACATGTTGTCAATTTAACACTATTTCCAGATGTCTCCTATACTGTACATACCAGCTCCTCCTGGTATCCCTAACTCTCACAGACCGTACAGACCTTTCATTGTTAAATTACAGTGACCGCATAACCCAAGTCAAGGGGAAACATTTGTATGATAGCAACAACCCTATTATGCAAAACAAACACCACAGTTCAAGGTTGAGAACATTTGAGAAGACTTTGTATGAGAGATTTAGGGATGATGGTTCTCAGTGGATTTTCCCTTTCATTAACAACGGTCAGAGTTCCGTTGAGAATGAAGCTACAGCAAGGAGACAGTTAGCTTGGCTAAGCATGAAGACTGGAAACAGTGGGAAACACCTAACCTATATTTATACAATTGAGATATTACATGGTAATCATTGAGCTTTAGCGGTGCTGGTACAGTAAGCACATTTGTTAATTTGGATAAAGTCAGGCAAATTGTTCAGCCCTGCAGCCAGTCTGTCTGCTAATTTAAGTTAACATTCAGCTGGCTGTTGCCTAGACTGTACTGTTTATCCGACCACCAGGTTGACATGATGAGTTAATCTCTCAAAATACAAATGTCTAAGCTACTTCCTCTCCCCATAGACATTTCACCTAGTTTCTACTTAAATAGGAAGAGCTTTGAAACACTTTAAAGATCTATTTTGAAATGTTTTTGTACCTTACTCTTAAATATACACTCACTGTAACTACAAAATCATTGAGTATTACATGACCGAAAAAAAGGCCTAGACTTGTTGAGTTTATTGCAGGACATTAAGATATCCGGTAATGTACTTACTGTAAGTGTTTTTTTTATTAACACTGTTTGACTGTAACATTAAGATCTTTCTCTTGCTCCTCAGGTTTAACAAATGGTCAATGATTGAGACATTTCAATTCTCACAACTCGACCCACACTTTCCTTCAGTCTCTGTGAAAGAAAACGTGTGGCTTTGCTAGTGTCGTTACTGAAAATATGTGCGTTAAGTTTAGCGCTTGCTGAAACCACATTCTTCATCACTGTCCAAACAAAACAGGTCGGTCTCAGATGGTGGTGAGCTCTGAAGAAACAGGCAGGAAATGGTGGGTGAAAGGAGGGGAGCTGAGGAGGGGGCGCTGCTTGTTGCAGCTTATTATCATATCTGCTATACACTTGAATCATGTGAAAGGCAAATGCATTGAAATTAAATGTAATTACATAACAAGCACGCTTTAGTGATTGACTGACTTGGACAACCTTAAAATACCAAAGTTTAGTTCCAGATTGCATAATATGTTTTTTGACAAGTAAGGATACATTTATTGCTAACAAAAAGGATGCATGAGATAAACATACAGCCATGCTAGTGTCTCAAGGAGGCTATTATTGAAGCTAAATGCTAAAGCCAGTAGTCTACAGTAGCATGGTCATGATGAAGCTACAATTATAATATTTAGCAGGCATGTTATGAAGCATTTCACTGGTTATATATATTGGCCTACTGGTGTCACAAGTAGAAGTTAAGGGATCACTAAAGTAATTAAGAATTAACGTGTCTTGAGCATTAAAATAGCCACTGTACTACATTTCATGGCAATCCATCCAGCAGTTGGTGGTCCAACTTACACTGAAATATATAGAGCCACACAGCTGGCAAGGATAAAACTCTTTTTCTTTATAGATTATATTTCAGCTATTATAAAGGGGAAAGAAATCATCTTCAAGTATCAGTATCACACAGAGAGGAGCCTTATGAAACTCACACCTTTGCCACCTTTGTCCTTACCAATGACTTTGTTCATGTAGATATACTCTTCATCAGCACCTGCATGGAGACAGAAAGCACGCTTTAGCAGTGGCACATTTGGGGTAGCTACAACAAACACTATCATCACATTATTTAAAGAACCAAGAGGACATTTGATACTACTTGACAGGAAAATGTACCTCCAGTGCCAAACAAACTTTCATCATGTTAGTCAAAAGTCTATGATTAAAGGGGGGACTTGACCCAAACAAGTAGCCTATTGTGTGGACAGATGGGGCCATTATTGACACCCACTCTCACCGTGACTGGCATTCATCGGACATTAGTCAGAAAACTTTGCACAGATAGAGCGCTGTGTCAATTTTCTATCTTTGAGGTTTTGAAGATAGCACAACTAAATATATGATGAAGTTCCTGAACATGTTACATCTGCTGAGTCCAGTCCAAAAGAGTTTTGATATAACCAAAACATAGGACTGTGGTTTGGTTTTACAATATATTTCCACTCAGTATTTGCATGAAACTTGTATTGACAAATAATAATGACAGCAGTATTTTTTGAAGCAATCTTTTTTTCAGTTTAATAGGCATATTATTGGGCAATATTAAAATATAATTTGGTTTCCTGTGACAAATACAAAAGCACAGTGAATCGGAAGTGCTTCACATGATGTGAGGAGTTAAACATTGCTGAACAAGTGATCAGAGCGGTTATTGAACTTGCCTTCTCTTTGCACTCAAATGTTTATGGGTTAGTGTGAGCATGAGATGATGAAACCTCATGTAATACATTGATGCTGAAGTCAGCGTAGTGAGAAAAGGACTGTGTTCGGTTAAACGTTGGTCTTAGCATGGTGGAATAATTATAAGCTGGCGAAGACGTCGCCATAACATTGCCACATAAACAGTTTGAATGTCTTTTCTTAAACAATAAACTGTGTGGTTTCAGGGTAGCAGGCTCCAGCTGGTTGCAGTGACCTGTTCTGGGAATTTGTTCCGGAGCTTCAGCACAGTTTTAAGGGAGGTTGTTTAATTGAATTAAATATTTTAGCTGACTAAGTTTATACCCTGAGAGGAAATCAAACAAAACTCTAACCTTGTGTGATACTCTGGAGAAGCTTTCTCCTTTGAAATTGATATTGCGAGGTGAAACCAAACAACAGCAGATTGAAAGTATGTTTTGCCTGTACAGTGAAAACAGATTTTCGGGGAACAGAGTCGAAATGCTATTTATAAGCTGCTGCTTAAAGGAAGTGAGCGTCCTCAAGGGATAAATGCAGCTTCGGAAAAATGATACAGCTTGGAGCCAGGAGAGGAAGTACGGAGACGAGTCCAGGACCTGAACATGGAAAAGCACGACTGCTGGTGTGTGTGTGTGTGTGTGTGTGTGTGTGTGTGTGTGTGTGTGTGTGTGTGTGTGTGTGTGTGTGTGTGTGTGTGTGTGTGTGTGTGTGTACACGTGCGTGTGTGTACGTGTGTATTTGGAACAGAGAAACACTGAGAAAGAGAAGCAAAACCCATGTTGCCTTTTTCAATATAAAAATGGCAGTAAAAGAATTGGGTCACTATAAAAGTGCCCAGTATTTTTGTTGTAAAAATCATGAAGCAGGGATTTTTGTGCCGTCTAATGTTTTCATAGCTCAAAGTTACTTTTCTTTACATCACACAAAGCTAAGATTTCTGAAGGAGCAACAGTCGTTTATTATTTCCAATTTATCACACACCTACTGTAGGGGCAGAGGCTTAACGGGGCTCGGTGTAGCACTGGTTCACATCGTAACTGACTTCCAGGCACCATTAATCACATCAGCACACCAGCGGTTGCCACATTTTCATGTTGAGTGTCAGAGCCAGTGAGCATGAACAACAAACTTGTCTTTAGCTGTTTGACAGGAAACATTAACGGTCCATGCATCACTATATAATGAAGCGAGAGGAACTTCAATTACATCTAGCTTGTAAGCCTTAAGTTAATAACCACAAGTATTTACAAAATATAAATAAATGTCATTCTGATACTTTTGCAAGGAAAGTAGAAATGCAAGCAAAAATAGTTCATTCAAACATCCCAATGTGGTTTTAAGTAACCAAAATAATAATAAAAGACTGGTAGCCGACAGTGTAAGCTCATTGACTTGTGGGAAACGCAGGGCATGACCACATGTTACATAAGGTGCTTTGCATAAATGCAGGCTTACTGCTTGAGTTTTTAAATGACCCATGGTTAAATATTTGTGGTTAAACCTCAACCAATAAATGTTAGGTCATCACAAATACAACACGTTTAAGAAACATATTAAAGGAACACAGAGGAAAGGTTTTAGACTACTTGTTTTTTTCTCAAAACAACCAAGCTTTCGTTGCGTATATCCTTCATGATATCCCTATGTACGAAGGTTAATAGACCATGCTTGGTATTTTCAATGTACCTTCCTTAATTATTCAAAAAGGGTCGATGGGATCTTATATTTCTTGGAGCTAGGAATCTAAGAACTGTACTTAAGTACACATTTGAAATACTTGTACTTAACTTGAGTATTTCCATGTTATGCTACATTCAGAGTTCAATTGTGTACTTTTACACATTTATTTTGTACCTTCAGTTACTTTGCAGATTTGAATTAATGAAAAATAAGACTTCAGTTACACCTGGACTAAATTCACAAGCTACCCTGCAGTATACAACGTCATTCAAACTAGCTGCACCTTTACCAGCTTTGATAACACTTTAATGCATCAGTAATTATAATCAAAACATATCATATATATTAATCTGAGATGGACCAATTTGCTAAATAAGTACTTATTCTTCTCCCACCTCTGACTTCAGACACTTAAATCAGTTCCTCAACATTTTTTATAGTGAGAGCTAGATCATACAGTTTGAGGAACCTATTTCCTTATTTGTACACTGCCAAGTTTTTGTTATTCATTAATAAAGTTAAGGGGCTTTTAAAGATGATAAGGAATGTTATAGGTATGCACCTAGATTGCAGACGTATGTATATGGCACATACTACATGGTGAGTTCAGGTTGATAAAAGGTTTTTAGGACTGAAATGTTAAGCCAGTTAGCAAATAATCTATATCGGTAAAGGCTCTTTGAATATGCTCTTTTAAATATATAACAAATAAAACCAAAGAGTCATGTCCATGGTGCCTTCCCGCAATTTTCAACAGCCAGCACTTATATTGTTAATTCATACCATTGGAGGAACTGTAGGACCGGAGGAGATCAGAGAGCAAGCCCTTCTGGATGGTGGCGTTCCCACTCAGGGTCTCCTTATCCAGGATGAGCAGGAAGCGGTGGAGCTCCATCAGGAGCTGGTCCAGCACTGCAAGCAGACAGACGAGAAGGTCTCAGAGGTAGAGCAAAGTCAAATTCCTTTATGCTAAATGGTGTTACATGTTTCTTGCAGTGAGAATATAAAAACAATGGCTTGAGACCAGAGCTGTGACAGTTCCCATCAGCAAGAAAGAGAAGAGCTACGAGTGATATAAAGCCTGTGAAGTTTCCAGGCAGAAATATTTTGCACATTATACTTTAATTTATGGCTGAAAGTTAAACTCAATGACTTTTCGTTTAACACTAAATTCGGCTGCGAGTTTGTTAGCTATTTCATTCTCACTGCTGGGAATCGTGCCTCAAGCTGTGAGCTGTATGCCAACATTTAACATGGGAGACACTCTTCAGTGGTCTTTAGCTGGCATCAAGTCGATAACCATTCAGACTTTATGTCATTCAGTCATAACTCTCATCCAGTTGATGTTGACAGCTACAAGTCTGTTTGAGGTTGTTTTGGGAGTTGTTAGGGTTTAGTGTAAGGTCAAGTCCAATGGAGGGCGGAGCATGGGCCCTGAGTCGGCGGGGCCTCTGTGTCTGAGTCTGGGTACAGCCCACACACATCCTTCAGGGGTCAGCGCTGAGCTCACAGCCCTCTCCCCTGTGTGGGGAGCTCTTTGTGCTTCCCTTCACTGTCTCTCGGCCTTATGAATAGGCCCCTTGCTACAGTGGGCCTCAGTGTTTGAGCATTTTACTGAAATACCAGACAGAAGGGGGATAAAGAAGAGAGACCTTATTAAAGGAAAAGGTGGGGCTAAGATCAGAGGGGGTGTCATCCGGTGTCATACTGTTCTTAGATACTGGAATGTATGAAATCACCCACAGTATTCAGCCTACACTGTTACCTTTTGATGTTTTCTTAGATGTGTCTGTGTTTTAAAAATCATTTTCGGTTAATGTAAAAAATAGACAAAATGTAAAGCCCGGACGACAGTCATGGCTGTCCACGTTCTGTACTACTAAAGAAAAAGCTAAAACGTTAGCTTCAGTTAGCTGTGTGTAAAAGTATAGGCTTACTGAGTTATTTCTGCTTCAAAGTCAAGTAAAAAATAAACCATAAAACATTTTACAATTAATAGGAATTGATAATACTCTCGTGTGCATGGAGTATGGAGCCAGAGTAGTTGTATTCTTTTATTTTATCTTGCCCCTGTTTACAGTCTAATGATAGACAGGTAGTCTAATCAAGTTTACAAAGTAGAACAAGTATAACAAAGGCTATATACTGTATATGCTTGTTGTTTATACTTTCAAATGAATGAAATGTAAAAGTTACAACTTTAACAGTTAAACGCTGAATTAGGTACCTACTGTAGGTGGTTAGCTAGTTAGCTGGACATGCTAACAGGGCAGCTCATGTTAGGGCAGCTCATTCAGTTTAATCCTGTTTTGAGTACCAAACATAGATCTTTATTTCTTATAAATAACAATAAGCCCCTGAAGTAGTGCCTGCCTCTGTACCCTTGAGGACTAACCTGCTATAACTACTGTAAAACAAACTTTTTAGAAAAATAGAAACAAACACTGACATTCATATGTCAAAAACATCAGACTCTACTCAGTAATTGAACTCTACACCACATGAATTATCACAACTTTCACAGTTATAATAAGGAGAGTAAACTTCTCCTCTCTGTTGAACCCTTTTTAAAACTGTCAGCTAGTCTGCTTTAGTGGCTCCTTCCGGCTCAAACTGATAACTGGGCCTTGCGGGGGAGTACATTCATGGCCTCTCCCCTCCTCCCTACACTACCTCACATCAAAGAACCTCTGCAAAGGGGGAACATTTCTGCAAAATACGGTGTCAGACCCCCTAAGCTTTGCCTTTCGATGATGACGAGAGGCTTTCCCAAAGATACAAGCGAGCTGGGTTGTTTTTAATGACTCCTGCTCAAGCTGAGTCAACGTCTGCTGAGAGGCCCTGTGGTGGGAGGATGTGCACCATGGAAAACATCATGGGTCTGAACATATATAGACACCAACACACACACACACATAGGGGATGTTAAGTAATTAAAATGCTACTATACAGACTTTTCATTACATTCTGAAGAGTTGTTTAGCTGCTGATGTTTGCCTGCTCACTACGAATGTAAACATTTTCCGGTTTCTCCTTCTTGTGTGTTTGCAGAGATTGACTCTGATGGCCTTTTGGTTTGGGGGACCCTGGGAAACAGAGTCAGCTGACAGGACAGGGAGGTCTGTAGCAGGCAGTCTCTGTGGGCTACGGGTTGGCCAGACGCCCACTGCACATCCAGTGAGTGACCGCAGCCTCCACAGCATAAACAATTCCCTTCTGTCAAATGGCCAAAAGGAATAAGAGACCATCAGCCATCAAAGGTGCCTTAGCATTCCCAACTAAAGAAATATATTTCTGTGATGCAATTAGAACTTGGGCAGATAAGATAAAGAAATCGCTTAACAACACAACTTTTGTGTCAGTAATCAGTTGATAGGATTTTCAAACACACAGAGGGTTAGGGGAATTTCTCTCCCTCATGCCTGTGGTTGTACTTCCTGCTTTGCTTCAATACAACCATGCCATTTTATTTGATATCTTGCACACTTAAGATATCCATTCAAAGTGTGGTTGATAGTGCTCTGATACGTTTGCAGATCAGCAAGGTGTACAGTATTGTGAAAGGCCTGATTAGATTACATTTAAAGAGTTAAACCTGGGATTATTTCCAAAACAAGATTACTATAGTGACAGAATGGGTTAGATTTGAAAGTCATCCACCATTATATTAACATAAACAGGCCAAAAAGACCAGAGATTATACACAACAAATGCTTCCTGCAATATTTGTTTTAAGCTATTTACGTTTTTTATCAGTGCTTTGTCTCTATCTGTTAACCTTGTCTGGCCCTGGTTGTGTCTCATTCTTTAAATTAGGCTGAATTAAATTGAAACAATAACCAACCAAGAACGTCTTTGAATGCGCTTCCAACTGTACATCTGGACTACAAATGATAGCCTACTCTTACTCTTCAACCACATCTGTCAACCTCCTGTGTGTCCTGTTAGGAGGGAGATGACAACAAGGTCCTACTGAAACTGAAACAAATTGGTCAGCTAAGGAAGGGATTAGACCAAAATAGAACTGAATAGGGGCTTTTCATTCAAAAGAGGGAAGGAATTGAACTTGGGTTTGTACCACGACTCTCCTTGTTCATTTTGACAAAATCTTCTGCCAAACAACAGGGTCATTTTGGGATCCTGGCAGCCTTTCTTGTTCCGAGAAGCTTGACGTCCTCCATCAACACTGACAGGATACATCTTAGCAGAGACGAGTGAAAGCATTTCATTTTATTGAATTAACGAGACAGGCATGGCCTCTCTTTTCAATTACACTGCCTCAGGGTTAAATGTTTGTGCAAATGTTCGTGCAAACATGGTCTCAAAACATATTGGGCAAATATAATCTGACAAGAATCTAATTTGCATTCCTTCCAAGTGTAGTATCAACTACAGCAAGTATCCATACTGATCAGTAATGAGCGTTCAAAATGTAACCCTTACTAAACCCATAAATCATCATCAAAGTGCTCTTAACAGCAAAAGCCCCTCAAATGTTTGCCACCACTTTTCAATGTGTCTGGTCATACTTCTATCATTTGTATTCCTTTCTTAAATCAAACTGGCCACATTTTCCTGTTTCCTCTCATCATTTCATCATCTTCCTCCATCTGTCTTACTTTCAAAACAACTCCTGCATATCAATTCATGCTCCAGGAAATATCCAGTTTTTCACTGATGCAATATTTGTGCTGCTTTTAAGCATGTGTTTGCCTTTGATCAAAGCCAAACAGACTCTTTCTCACATAGTATCAATGTTTTTCTTATAGCCTGATGCAGCATATGATCGAGTTATGTTAGATATACTGTAAAGTATCTTATATGACATACTATCAAAGGGCACAATAGTTAGAAACAATGCTGGCTTTATACCGGTTACCAAAAAACCACCACAGTGTTAACTTGTTTAACATGATTAAGTAATGATGGGACATTAAATTAGACTGAGCAAGCATTTTTTAAACTCATAAAACTTGTTTACCCCACAACTCTGCATTACTCATGATAGAGATTAACTGGTAGTGTATTTAAATGTGATTTAATCAGTTTGGCACCCCACTTGAGCAGCTGCTTTGGTATGTTTTAAAGAGGAGACAGCCGTTTTAGACCACTGTGCCTGATTGTCATTATGTTTTGAAGAAGTTCCCAACAACATTTTACAATTGGGTTATTAACCCAAATTAAAGTACAGTTATTGTGATGCAGAGTCAAAGTCAAACCTGCTCAAGTTTAACATCAAACTTTAGTGACATGAAAGCACTAGAGTGGATTGTAAGGATGTGTGACAATACCATATTTGGTCTGAGTAAGAAAATAACCCAACATTAATGGAATAAATTAGACAAATACACTTTTTTGCTTTTTCTACCCATGGCTAGTAAGTAAAGTGTTGGTGCTACATTGACCCAATGTGTGCTAAGTTGGTACATTTCTGTTGGCTATTTGTATTAAGATTCATGTAAATGTAATTTGTGAATCAAATTCAAAAGTAGACACACTTACACAATTCTATTTTCAAAAGAAAGAATGTTGACAGAAAATAACATTAACTATTCACAGCACTGAGTCTATAGTGTCATTTTTTAACTGACAATGAAAGAGATACAACTCCAGGTAAAAGGGAAGTGGTTGATAGAACGAGAATTGGAACCAGTGACCTAACCCGACGGTAGAAGGTTTGGGTTGTACACCAAAACCTTTAAAGCCATTCTCAGTATAATGAAGCAGAAATGTCAGAGCAGGTTTGTTTCCTATCGTTTGACTCTTATACGCCAAACGTTTAGAGGAATACACTGAATGACCCTTGGGTTTGTTTCAATGCATCCAAGTGAGAGAAGAAGCCACGTAGGATTGGTTTGTTCCAGTCTGGCCTGGCTCTGGTGATAAAGCAGATAATTGGCTCATGACAAGGG